ATTGTCATTTGTTTTTATTCTCTCTCTCTCTGTGTGTGTGTGTGTGTGTGCATGTGTGTGTGTTCCTTAACTTCACTCAAACAAACTCTCTCAATTTGAGAGAGAGTTTGCTTGAGAAGAGAGGGAAGGAGCAGACGCATGGAGGGGAGCCTTGTTTGTTTTGAGAAGAGAGGGGCAATAGTGATTCTGAGAATTACACTGACAATAGTTTTTGGAATATAATGGGAGATTACATTTTCTCTTCTGCTTCTTATAATCATTTTAAGAAGTTCTCCAGCAAGTTCTTTTGCAGTTAAGTGGTTTGCAAATGGACGGAGCTCTGGGAGAAAGCGGCGGGAGCGGAATGCTGTCCTCTATTGCCGGAAAGTCCGGGGAGGGAAGCGGGGCTCGTGGAGACTCGCTCGCAGCCGGCTTCTCTGGAGCGGAGGGGGGGGGCGATAGAAGCGGAGCGGATCCTCTTGCCGCTGCGGGCCTAGCTTGCGGAGTGCCAAAAGGGGAGGGGGCCTCTTGGAACACCCCCACCCCCACCCCTCTTCGCTGTTTCCTCCTGGGGCTGCTGGGAGACGGAACCAGGGCTGCAAACACCCACACCCACCCCTCTTCGCCTTTCGCCTCCGCGGCTCTCGCTCCAGCCTGCTGGGGGGGGGGGGGGGGAGCCGCTTTCGTTCTTTTTGCCTCACCAGCCAGAAGCTTCACTGCACGTCACTGAACTGTGATGAGCCAATCCAGGGTGAAGGGAATAATATATAACTTGGGAGGAGGGGACTGGTAATAATTATGTTTGTAATTGTTGCAAAGGAGATTGGAAGTCACTTTTTTGTTCTTCTTTTTCTGCCTTTTACTTTACTTTAAACTTTTAAAGATATTTTTCACTTTTCTGTTACAGGTAGTTCTTGACTTACAACCACAATTGAGTCCAAAATTTCTGTTGCTAAGTGAGACATCTGTTAAATGAGTTTTGCTCCATTTTACAACCTTTCTTACCACAATTGTTAAGTGAATCACTGCTATTGTTAAGTTAGTAACACATTTGTTAAGCGAAACTAGCTTCCCCACAGCTTTTCAGAAGGTTGCAAAAGGGAAACACACCAGGACACTGCAACTGTCATAAATTTGAGTCAGTTGCCAAGCATTGGAATTTTGATCACATGACCCTGGGGATCCTACATAAGTCATAAGTGTGAAAAATGGCCATAGGTTCACTTTTTTCAGTGTCGTGGTAACTTCAAACGGTCACTAAATGAACTGTTGTAAGTCGAGGAATACCTGTACCTTTTCATATTTTTTTCTTTATGTTTCTATAGTTTTTAATCTGGTATAAAATTCCTTTTCGGGACAAATGATCTCCATGTGTCTCTTTTGTCATGCAGAGTGCTGCGGGATTGTTACTGGCCTACCTGATCCAGTATGGTGCTTCTGTGAAACTGAACCCAGAGCAAGCCTTGACAAATATAGCTACTGCACTCGCAGAACCTGCAGAGGTAACTGTCCAACTATATAGAGTTTGGGACATAAAAGACAGACGCCTCTGGTTGTAAATGAATTCACACCAGTATAGAGTAGGGTGAAACCTGTGTTCCTCCAGATATAGTTGAATCATAATTCTTTGCCATCCTCACTATTAGGTGGACCTTCTGAGGTTTCTCATCTGGCAACATCATGAATTGACTGCTCCTGCCATGCGACACAGTGGCCAGTGTGTGATTTAGATATTCTGTGTTAGTCTGTTACACACCTTTCTCCTATCTTTCAGCTGTACCTACCTTCTCCCATGGGAGCTGGCTTCTATGATGGGCTCTTGTTTTTGCTGTTGCATCTATTAAGCCAGGTATGGGTTTCCTTCTCTGTTCCACCAAGGAGCTGCTCTGAATGTTTAAGTGTGTAGAAGTTATCCAAGAAATAATAGAGCTTGCTGCCAAATGGTAATAAGTGAGAATTGACCTACATTATTTCTTTGCTGTGCTGTACCCATTTCCACTGTAAGTGTAGGAGTAGAAAAAAGGCTCCACTTAAATGTTGCCCTTTTTTTACAAAAATATCCTTGGATTGGGAGCAACATCAGAAGACTAAGAGGAAACAGAAAAGAATCTAGAAATGGAAAACACAGTTTGCTGTATGATTACACCAATATATGTGGTATATTTGATAAAGGCGTGTCAGATTTAAGAGGGAACATCTGTGCTCAGCTGGCAGAAGATAGGACCTTCTGCCTTTAGCCTGATGGTTTGAGTCTGGATTCTCTTGGACTAGGGAGATACAGCAACTATGAGAGAATTTGTGGCCTCGGAGCTCTGGAGCATTGTATGGCATCGCTTTGCTATGGTGCTCCACTTGACCACTTGGAAGCCGGTGATGGAAGGTGAGACCCCGAGAGCTGGACAGCAGCCACCAGTACCTGATTGGAACCTACTGTCACCACAAGGTGAGTTAAGGGGCCCTGCATTATAAAGTCAAGTTTGATCTCTTGGGAAACATTTCCTTCTGTCTACATATTAGAAGATAAAATGTGGGATTCTAGTCTATAAGACTGAGGAGAGGCTATATAACGTCAGGATGTCCTTGCTCTCTTTCCGGATGTTAAATGTGGACATGGGTGCTGCCTTAAGTGAAAAAGGACAGGAAAGCATTGAGTGAATGCATCAGGGATGTTTTCTCTCTCTTGCTGTAGGGACCTTGCTCTTCCTCAGCTTAATCCTCTTCGTCTTTACCCAAGAACCTTACCAGTGCCTTTTCCAGCTGGCCCAACCCAGTAGTGTTATGATGGCAATTCTGAAGAAGCTACTTGAACCTGGCTTCTTGCAACATTTGGCCCAAATGTGAGTAATCAACAATCCAAAGTTTACCTAAAGAACAGACAAAATAGACACAGCAGAGAGTTACACTCGATGGCCTAAATGCTGTTTTCCGATTCTGTAAACACAACCATAAGATGCAATAAAACATTTTGGGGAGAAATGGCATTGTGAAGCAACATGCTTTTCATTCACCCAAACACTACTAACATCACACAAAACAATCATATCTGCACCTAATGTTGGCCTCATTCTTCAGCACTGCTTTTTAAGAAGGATCTGCCAACAGGGACAAATATGGAACGATCTGAGCACCCCACTTCCAGATGTTTTCCTAATGTGATCACTTTTGAGAATATTCTAAGTATATGCAGCATAATTTGTTTTCCCATGAGGTCTCACACTAAAGATTCTAAGTTACTGGACTAAAAAATGAATTCTTAATGTCTTTACCCATTCCAAACTTTCAGCACCTGTACTCATATTCTAATTAATATTCCCCGTGTTCCTTATTATTATATTATCCCAATAGCAGCAAATATGGAACCATCTGAGCACCACACTTCCAGATCCTAAAAATTACAATTTAAATAATGGATGCAGAAACCAAGAATTTGAGTTAATTTAGTTTGACATAATGTTTTGTTTGTTCTCAATGAAACATGTATAGGATTTCAGTCTCCTCTAAGTTTATCTTCAGAGGATACTTGGCAATGGATTTTTGGAGTGGTAATCCTCCAATTTTGGAATATCCTCTCAGCAAAGGTAGCATCTTTAGTCCCCGTTGCTACTAGGTGGCAAGATTTAGGAAAACAAAAAATGAGACATTATCCTCTTTATTTCATTTTTTGGATGTGGGGAAAGGCATTTATATTCTTCCGTGGTATTTAATATTTCTGCAGTGATATTGTAAACTTCTTGTTACTGCTTGTACTCTTACCAGGGCATTACTTATTATTCTATATTTTGTTCAGGTTTTGAATGTGTTTACATCAAACGTTGGATTTTCATTGTAAGACACTTTGAGACCTTTTGAACAGGAAGCACTCTAAATAATAAATAAATAATACTTTCTCCCTTGAAAGGCATACCCTAAAATTGAAGAGTGACAAGCCAGGGAAAAGTCGGTGGAACTTGGGAAGTTGCCGCCTCCTAAATCAGACCATTGTTCCATCAGATGCTGTCTGCTGCACCGAATGGATGGTGCCTTTCCCATTCCTGAATGAAAATGTCAGGCCCAGAAGCAGCCCTTTCCTTTTGCATGGAAAGCTCTACTGCTGCACTGCGGCCCTTCCTTAACTGCAGTTACTGCTTTACTGTTAACTTTTTGCATAAACATTTCACTTGCCTTAACATTTTCTGAAGCCACTGATGTTTGTGACTGCAGTTGATGTACTAAATCTGATGGAATTTGATCAACATAATGCCTGACTTGCTGCTCTTTTTCTCCTTATTCCCCAGGCAGGTCCAGGACAGTGATCCCAAACTGGTGCCCACTGTTGTGCTCCAAGTCTGTCGGCTATTCTGTTTCCCGTTTGCTCTGGATGTAGACTCAGAAACTTTAGAATATATCATAGCAAGCCTGAGGGACTCTCAAATCCCCGCCCATTTACTCCAGGTAAAATCTATTCCAGCATTTGCAAGGGAGTGGGGGATGTCAGGGGGAATAGCCTTGTAGCTCCCTATCTGTGCCCTGACTGCTCTTTTTCCTGTGTTTCATCCTGCTCCCTGGCGCTTGCGAAGAGGCCTAGATAATCATAGAGAAGTTGTAAGATAGAAATTCCAACCTTTGGAAAACATAGATGGATTCTGATTTCGCTATGTTGTTTTGCATAAGAATATCCATCCATTCCTGGACTCCTTCCTCTGCTCTTTCTTAGGTCTCCATTCAACATCTTCCCATCTCGGAGACTGAGTTGCCTTTGAGCCTTTTGTGCCGCTTGGTATTGAGTGATGAGGGAATCATTGGCCAAGTGGTAGAAATAGCCACCTCAGAACAAGCCATTGTTTTCTTGTTGGCCATTTTGCTTTCAGATCAGGTAGCTATTACCGCAGACCTGCTCTCCCTGCTCACTCACATAGCCCGGGCCAGTCCAGCTCACTTGCCTTTCCTTCAGAGGCTCCTGATTGACCCCGATTCAGCTTCTCAGCTGTTGGACCATGTGCTTCACCACCGGGATTGCCTGATCCGAGCCAGAGCTTGTAGCCTTGTAGGCAACCTATTACGACATGGACAAGGATTTCCTCAGACACTGTGGCACAAGGTTGGGCTGCAGGAACTTTTGGTGGGTTGTCTTTCAGATGAAGATGAGCACGTGCGTTGCTCAGCCAGCTTTGCCATTGGTAATGCAGCCTACCAGGCTGGTCCTGTAATGCAGGGTTTTAACAAAGCTGTGCCTTGGCTTGTTCGGCTCCTGAGAGATTCTCAGGCAAGGACACGTTGCAATGCTGCTTCAGCACTGGGCAACTTGGGACGACAGTCTGTGGAGGTGGGAGATTTGCTGATCCAGAGCCGAGCACCTGAACTTCTATTGGATACGGCCTGCCATGACTCCCATCCTGCTGTGCAAGAGGCAGCACTCTTTGCTTTACGCTCCATTGGTCAGCAGTCCAAGATTCACCAGGTACAAAGTCTGTAAGTTTGAAGGGTGATGATGGATGAGTGTGAACTCTGGTCCACTGAGGAAAGGATTGGAGACTGGCAGTACTTCAATGCACCATAGAAGTTTTCTTCTCAAACTTTATGTGCTAGTTAAGAATTAAAATATCATGCATTAGATCCAGAAAGGGTATTGTATTAGACAGTTCTTTTTAGTGTTAAAGAATGCCATTCTAAATACTGGCACCCAATGCTATTGGAAAATGAAAAGTCCAGAATATTTATTTAATCTCATTTTGCCTCCTGATTTCTATTAATGTAAGACTGGCTCTCTCTACCCTCTCTCTCAGTTAACTTACTAAGCAGCCATCAGTAAGCCTTTTTCTTTTTTTTTTGTACAACAATCACATGTGATTGGGAATGTAAAATTAATTTTATGTTAGCTAAGCATAGGAGTTTAGTCCTAGTATGAAGTGTTAATGTATTTTGATAAGATATTTGTTTTGTAAAGAATTCCTGTCTCACAAATGTTTTGTTAATGAGGTACAATGGATTTTTATGTAAGGATATATGATCTAACTTTTCTGGCTGCTAATTTGGGGAGGGAATAAAAGAGGCTATTTGGAAAAATAGAATCCTTGGTATTCCCTTAGTTTGGTTGTTTGCTTACATATGTCTCATTACCCATCTAGGTAATTTCATCAGTGTTGGTGAATGTGGGGGTTGTTCCCTGTTTATGTAGAGTAGCTTGCCCTACCAGTGTTGGTTGGGGTGATATTTTTTTTTTACTTAGTAATTTCTAGATTAGGGTATTCTTTTCTGCTTAACTGTTTGTCTGATATTAATCCTGTTTATCTGGATTTTGGCTGTTGATAAGGATGTATTCTGGTATTTTTGTTTCTGTCTTAGTTTTGTTGTATTTTGAATGATGACTGAATGTGGTCTATCTGTATGCGTCTATTGATGCTTGATTTGTCTGAATGCCAAGCTTCCAGGAATTCCAAGCTTTTATGGATTTAGTTTGTTCTAGGCTGCTCTGTTTACCAGTTGAAACTATGGTTGAGTCTGTCCATGTGTTATGAGATTAAGGAGTCTTCCCACAGACTGCTGGTTGGGGTACCTGCGTTCCCTCTGCTTATCTTCTCTGCCTGTATGTCCGACATGGCAGCTGCTACACCCTTACATTCCACACTGTAGATGACTCCTGTTTTTTTCTTCTTCTTGGCCTAGTGAGTCTTTTTGATTTATTTAATATGTTTTGGAGGACTTGAGTAGGTTTATGTGCTACAATGATGCCATGTGGTTGTAATAGTTGGTTGTTTCTAAGATGCTTGATGGTAGTGTTATTGTTTTCATAGCTTGTATTGCTATTGAGTGGTCAAACACTTTTTGATTTAAGTTGCATGGGTATTCATTTTGTTAGATGTTGTTACATAGGCATTGTTTACTCTTTCTGGTGTTTTGTGTTGCTGCACTCTTCTGAATAATGTTTTTACATAGCTTTACTTGTGGGAGGTTGGATTGTTACTTTGGTAACACAGTACTTGTTTTATGCAGATTGTTTTTTGATAGAGAGTTGCATTTCAAATTTGCCATTGTTTCCTTTGCTGATGAGCAAATTCAGGAAGGATAGTGTGAGGTTTTTTTCTTCCCTTGTGAATTTTATTCCTTTTAAAATGGAGAATATTTTTTAAAAGAATGGATTTGTGAAAATACAGCCCTAGATATCTAAATAACTATTAGTTTCCTTTCTAGGTACTGCTGTCACTCCAAGCAACTGAAAAACTGGAAGCACTTTCCATTCATGGATCTCAGGCTTCTATGAATAGTAGTCCTCGGCCCACATCGAGGCACTGTAAGAAACTGATACATCTCCTACAGGCTACACACATTGTATAAGATCTGAGGAACAGATACAACTGTCCGCTTTTTTGTAATATTTTAGGTGTGGGGACTATAAAGTAGTAAACTCCATTGTAAGTACTTTTTGAAATAGATTTTAATGGAATATCATTTGATTCTTGCCTTACTGAGATTAGAAACAGCCATCCCAAATCTTCCTACAAATAGTTTTTTTTTAAATCCAACACTATATAAACTGCCTTCTGTAATGACAAGTCTATGCATATACTAATTCTTTTCTATTGCGAAGAAGCTATGCTGTACTGTTGTCCAACGTCTTGACGGCCATTCATGAAGTTGGTTCTTGTGACAGTTTTCTTTGGAATGCTAATGGTAGACATCGACCAACATCCAACTGTCTCTGCTGAAAAGAAGAAAAGATGTTAGTAGCATTGCTGGCTAAAATGTTCATTTTCTTTTAGTTTTGCAGAATAACACAGGATAGAAGCTGTAAGACATTTTTTTAAAAATCTTGAATAGGAATAGAATTTTTACTTGAACTGACTGATCAATTTTGATCCAGCTCATGAAGGCTGGATCCCATTTTTATTTATTGAGAACTGTTCTAGAATACTTCCCTGGCTAATCTCCTGTCTTTATTATCAATATTAAGTCTTTGTAATAAAAGCTGGTGCTGATATTTGGTGTTCTTGGTGCTGATATTTGGTGTTCTATTAGAAAACTGTAAAAGATACTTCCGATTTTGAAAAGTGAGGGCACGCTTGTCCTGTGCCTTAAGTATTGAAGGATTATGATAGAAAGACTATTAGTGTATTTTTCTAAATAGAAGAGAGAACAGATTGAAACAATACCGAGAGCAGAGACTTTCTTGAACTGAACACTACCATCTAAATTTTAATGTTCTCATGCACTTCTCTTCTATTTCCTATTTGAAAATTATACTTTTACCAAAGATCTTCAGGATGGTACAAGAATTCTATTTTTCTTATCATTGTAAAGAAGCATAGAGCACTTGTCAACTATTTTTATAAGCTTAGTAACCTTCAAGACACTTAAGAGGTCCTTAATACATCTCTCTGTGTGGTGAAATAAAAGGACATTTAGTATGAAAAAGAACTACACATATATTTTTTCTAAACATTGTTCTTCTGCTGAGGGTTAATCAGATGCAACCTTCATTGATAAGAGACATAATTACCTGGATTTATGTCTGTAACAAGCTTAGCTGAACTGCAATATACGTTCAAATGAGTATCACCATTGCAATGGTACAGGTAGTCCTCAATTTACAAAGGCTTGTTTAGTGACTGTTCAAAGTTACAACGGCACTGAAAAAAGTGACAGTCCATTGCAGCATCCCCATGGTCACGTGATTAAAGTTCACATGCTTGGTGACTAGTTCATATTTATGACGATTGCAGTGTCCTGGGGTTATGTGATCAGCTTTTGCAACCTTTTGACAAGCAAAACCAAAGGGAATCCAGATTCACTTAACAGTCCTGTTCCTAACTTAACAAATGCAATCATTCACTTAACAGCTGTGGCAAGAATAGTCATAAAATAAATTTTGGGCTCAATTGTGGTCATAATTCAAAGACTACCTGTAATAGCTTTCCAGCATTCACTTAGGAATCACTGCTCACACCTGCACACATTGACGGAAGTAGAAAATGTGCAAACTGGGACTATTGATAAGTTGACTAAGAAAAAAAATATTTCACCCAAAATTCAAATCTTTGAACTTTTTTTTATTAAAAAGACATTTCATTTTTTAAATATTTAGCCATAGAATAAACACTGCTACACAATTTAGAGCCTTTCACCTTTCCCGGGCAATGGCAAAAGCTATTTCCCAGCCCTTCATTAGGAGCTTCTATCCTGGAGCAGCAGGGCATTGCTGCCACCAAAGGAAAAGAAGAAAGCTTAAAGAACCAGAGAGAAATATCAACACAATACATGCCTTCTGCATCAGAAAAAAAATGTTAGGGCTTTTTCATTGAGAGGGGTGGAAAAATGGTTGCCAGGGCACAACAACAAAGGGTGGGCAGGCTTTACACTCAGTGCCACAAAGCTGCCTGTTTCCAGCGGTCATCCCACTCCGCTTCTTTTGAGGGAGGGGCAGGCAATACAGGACAGAAAAGGAGCCAGCTCTGGCCAACAAAACAGTTGTGCTAGCAGACATCTACAAATTCATTGCCTTTTATCAGAAGTCTGAATGGAGAAAGAAAGACGGCAGTAAGTACAGTTATTTTCCTAGCAGTTGTCAAATGTAGGGGAAGAGGTTGGGTGTGGAGGCAGGAATTGCAGAGGCGTTTGGATTTCCTCAGATGCTTTTCATGCATCTTAGTTCAATAATTTAGAAGCGCAGCTCAAGGGCAGAGTCCTATGGGGCCAGTAACAGAGATCTGGAGCCCGCATCTACAAATCTAAGTTTCTCTTCATCCTAGCCCACCAACAGCTGGGTGACATACTGTATATATTTTGAATACTTTACACAAATGGGAGGACCACCAACTCATAATGCTGTTTTTGCACTATGGCTTGTAGTCCCTTGGAGAACAAGCAACAATACGAAGACTGACAATTCATAGGAAAACTGGCTGTAATGGGTAGAAGCGAGGGAACAAACCAAGAGCCATTTAATTAAGAAGGCCACTACTAAACAGTTGTAGCTTTGCAGTAACTCTGATACTTTAGAGTAAAAATATTGACCCTTGCAACCTTGTAAGCCATTCTATGTTTCATTGTGCTTCCTGAAACATTCCACACATCATCCCTACGGACATCAACCACTTTTGGGGATGGAAAGGAGACCATCTTGCCCAGTTATTTCTCCTGTAAATAGAAATGCACATACTGCTCTAATTAGCAAAAATATTACAATTGAAATGCTTGGTCTTTCAAAAGTGAAGGGAGTTGATAGGCAAAACAAGGATCCTTCCTCCCCTTTAACACTAGAATTCTTTCATAAAAGACATAATGTCTTTTCTAGCTGCTCTGCTGCTCTCCCTGAGGCAAGGCTAAGGGCATTAGAAGAACGCATTCTGACCAGGATGTTTTAGGGCAGGGTTGATGCTAACAAGCAAAAATATTGGTAAAGTGCAGCAGAAAGGGAAAGAGGAAGGCTTCCAGATTCTACAACTAAATTTGAGTTCTTCCAAGTGAATTTTTAAAAATTCCAGACAACTAGATATGTAGTTCAGAATAAATATAATCAGGCTATGCCTTCCTGGAAACCATTGGGCATAGTGTATATTCACCTTATGTATAGAGGAAAATAGGCTGAAGGTTTTAAATATTTGAGGGCTGGTTCTTGGAACTGCAGAAGCACCTGCTTTCTGTGAAGGTAGCTAAGTCCAAATTACCTTTATTTTCCCAGAAAAAAAATATCTACATGGTATCACTATATGAAAACATACTTTCTATTCCCCAACCTTCTGTCAAAAAAAACCCCTCCCAAATCTATTTCTCCAAGAATGTTTTCCCTTCCTGTTCAATTAACTGACCAATGTTCTCTTTAAATTATTTACACCCTCGCTGCTGAATAAAACTCCTTTATTTCCTACTGGCTATATGGGGATGAGCAGTAAGCCGTAGTGGCAGGAATATTTAGCAGAAAATATGTGTGAAATAAAAACAGCAAAACAGACTAAAACAGAAAAATTGCAGCAGCATACAAAGACTGCGTCATCACTAAGAAGCATGGGCAGAAACAGAGGCCTGATGGAGAGGCCAATACTAGGAGGAGGACAACAGCTTTCGATTCCAGACATAACACTGCAAATAAGGGTGCTTTGCTTGGACTTTGCCACGTGTGTATCTGTCCTTCAGTATGGCCTAAACTTCTCTATGCATCTGTTTGTCCTTTCTGGCAGCTACAGAAATAGAAGACTGAACAGTGAAATCAGGGTGATAGTTCTTTAGGAGGTTGAGAAGGAGCTCCTGGAGCTTCTGTTTCTCCAGAAAGGCCCAGCTCTGTATCCATTTGCTCCAGCTCCTTCTGATCAAGCAGCTCAAAATCATCAGCTTCCTCTTCCTCCTCTTCTTTCCCAGGTAGAGGAGTTGTTCCCACCTCCTCATTCTCAGATAGCTGTGCCTGGAAACTGAGTCTCTCTTCAGGTTCAGTAGGCAAGAACTCAGAGAAGCAAGGCCCTTCAGTGTCCTCTGAGGAGTGGAGCAGGGCTGACAGGGTGTTCTGCACAACTGTACTGATAGCCGTTGTGACAATTTCTTGGCTCAACGAATCGATGTGTAGCCCCAGGCCTTGTGCACAGGTAGCTCGAGATTCAGGGATTCCTCCCACCGTTGCCTGCCCATTCCCATTGAAATGAGTATTTACAAAATGCAGGGGTGAGGTCAGGCACAGAATGGATGTGTCCGAATTCATGGCAGCAGCTACCGCTGCTGCTGCTGCCACTGCTGCTGTCTCCGCCTCTTCCTCTTCAGCAGAGTTTAGCTGTTGTGCACTTTGAATGGGAACCCCAAAATTGTCATCTTCGTTGGATGGTCCCAAGTCTTTGGAATGGAATTCTTCCACAGAAGGGAATTCTGCTAAATCCTTGGAAAAGGATTCTTCAGGCTCACTGGGGAGGCTCTGCTGGTCCAAATCTAAAAAAAGCAGATAGGCAGTTAATAAGCATGTACCTTTCAGCACTCCAGAGATTCCTGCTCTGAATCTTTAATGTGGCTGCGAGCTCAACTATGGGTTTCACTCTTGTTGACTTTACAAATTTCTAAACATACTTGCTTGGCTTTTGTTCCCCCCCACCTTTTGAGTGGCATTACAATGTTTTGTCATCTTCTCTGCCTGAAGTTCTGTAAGCCAAGAACTGTACTGCTAGCTGAAATCTAAAAGTCACAATCCAAACAGGCATGGTCGCTAAAGCTTTTCTTTATTGTATCCTGTTATAAGGCTAAAGAGCCACTGGTAAGTACGCATGATAAAATTCCAATCAGTTTAAAATGAACTCATAGCTATATTGGCCAGTTGTAGCATAGAGCTTTGTATTTCCAAAAGTTAATTTCTTGTCAAAGCAGGTTTAATTCAAAACTTGAGTTTGATTCACACTCCACTCCAAACAATGAATGGAAATTTAATATTATAATATTTTGCATGGATCTATAAGGAACAGAATTCCCCATTGAAATGCCTCCCTTCTTTTCAGGTCTGAAATGGCAAACAAAAAGGGAAAAGGGCGGCCTATAAATGTTAAATAAAATAAATAAAATAAAATAAACTCTTTTCAGGAAGAGTTAAAGGACAGGCTATGATCTAGGTCGGTGTGGTTGCTGTAGGTAAATCATCTTGGGTGCTGTAGGTAAATCATCTTGGGTGACATTTTGTAAAGAGGGTGGAGGTAAAGAAAAAAGAAGGCAAAGGTGGTGGAAACCAATTCAGCGAAGCCAATGAAGTTTTGTTTATAATTGTGTAATATAACTGGGCTAATTTTTGTAGCATCAGTAACAAAAATAGGGGAATTACTTCCAAATTAATTGAACAGTTAAAAAATTAACATGGAAAAGACACTGCAATCTACATTTACTATGAAGCCAGAAACATTCATAATTATGTGATCCTTTCCAGTTCTTGCTTCATTTTTCTCATGAATTCTTAGTTCTGCCACAAAGCAGTATAGAATTGTATCATTCAACAGCTGCAAGCTGAAATATGAAACTTGA